CAGTTCCTTGTCCCTGCCATAGTGCCATGTGTGTTGTGTGTATAAATGTATGTGGTGGTGATAGAATTCTGTTTTTAAAATTTTACCAATATAAAGAAACAGATCACAAACATTCTGCAGGTGCAACTCCCAGAAAACAACCACAATGACCTCCTTCCCTCTATCCCTCCCCAACCTCCATCTCTTCTCTTCCCTTCCTCTTCTTTAATTCTGGAAATGCACAATCCCAGGCCACTCTACGATCACAGGCTTACTCCACCATGAACCATAATAGTCAGCAAGTAGAAAATATAAAGGACACAATTCAACAGGAGTATTAACAAGGGCTGAAAGCAAAAATCAAATCACAAGATATCTGTTCACTCCTGGCCGGTGCCGCGGTTCACTAGGCTAATCCTCCGCCTTGCGGCACCGGCACACCGGGTTCTAGTCCCAGTCAGGGCGCCGGATTCTGTCCCAGTTGCCCCTCTTCCAGGCCAGCTCTCTGCTGTGGCCAGGGAGTGCAGTGGAGGATGGCCCAAGTCCTTGGGCCCTGCACCCTATGGGAGACCAGGAGAAGCACCTGGCTCCTGGCTTCGGATCAGCGCGGTGCACCAGCCATAGCGCGCCGGCTGTGACGGCCATTGGAGGGTGAACCAACGGCAAAAGGAAGACCTTTCTCCCTGTCTCTCTCTCTCTCACTGTCCACTCTGCCTGTCAAAAAAAAAAAATATCATTGGCATTTAAAAAAAATATCTGTTCACTCCTATACATTTTTGGATTATATATTAACTACTACATATCAGAGAAAACATGATACTTGTCTTGTGGGTACTGGCTTATTTCACTAAGCATAATGGTCTCCAGTTGCAAAAGACAGGATTTCATTCTTTTTGATGGCTGAGTAATATTCCATAATGTATATATACCACATTTTCTTTTTTATGTTTTTTGAAAACCACAATTTTTAAAAATTCTTCCCAGAAAGCTTTTATTTAAGGTGTACAGACCTCATGCAGTTTATGATACAACTTTAGGAATATAGTAATTCTTCTCACCCTGCCCACCTTCCTACCCGCACTCTCACCATTCTGCCTCCTCCCCGCCATCAGTTAATGGACATCTGAGTTTATTCCATATCTTAGTTATTGTGACTGGAGCTGTAATGAATACGGATTATGAATAACTCTTTCATGTTCTGATTTCATTTCCTTTGGGTAAATTCCCAGAAGTGGGATGGCTGGCTCATATGGTAGATCTATTTCCAGTTTTCTGAGAAATCTCCATACTGTCTTCCATAATGGTTGTGCTAGTTTACATTCCCATCAACAGTGTATTAGGATACCTTTTTCCCTGCATCCTCATGAGTATTTGTTGTTTTTTGATCTCTGTATGATAGCCATTCTTACTAGGGTGAAGTGAAACCTCCTGTGGTATTTATTTTCATTTCCCTGATGGTTAGTGATCCTAAGCATTTTTTATATGTCTTTTAGCCATTTGTATTTCCTCCTTTGAAAAATGCCTTTTCAAGTTGTTTGCCCATTTCTTAACTGGATTGTTTGTTTTGTTGTTGTTGTTTCTTGAACCATTTATAGATCCTGGATATTAACCCTTTATCAGTTGCGGAGTTTGTAAATACTTTGTCCCATTCTATAGTTGCTTTTCACTTCACTTTTTACCTTTAGAGTGCTTCTTACCTTCATATAATCCAATGTGTCTTAGCTTGATATAATCCAGTGTGTTTTAGCTTGATATAATCCAATGTGTCTTAGCTTGATATAATCCAATGTGTCTTTTTTGTTTTTATTACCTGTGCTTCTGGGGTCTTTGACCAGAAATCTTTTCCTATGCCAATGTTTTGATGAGTTTTCTCAATGTTTTCCTCTAGCAATTTGAGAGTATCTAGTCATAGATTTAGATCCTTGATTCACTGTGAGTTGATTTTTGTAAGTGTAAGGTAAGAGTCTTGTTCATACTTCTGCATCCATAGATTCAATTTTCCCAAAACCATTTGTTGGGAACACTGTTCTTTCTCCATGAATTGATTTTAGTTAGTATGTCAAAAATTGGTTGTAGATGAATGATTCGATTTCTGGGGTTTCTATTTTGTTCCATTGGTCTGAATTCTGTACCAGGCTGCTTTGATTATAACTTCCCTGTAGTATGTCTTGAAATAATACAATAAATAGAAAAACTGTGATGGTGATGCCTCCAGTTTTGTTTTTGTTGTTTAAAATTGCTTTAGTTATTTGGAATCTCTTGTGTTTATTCATGAATTTTAGCATCATTTTATCTAGATCTGAGAATAATGTCCTTGGTATGTTGATTGGGTATGCATTGAATCTATAATTCTTTTGGGTAATATGGACATTTTAATGCTATTAATTCCACAAACATGGGAGATGCTTCCATTTTTTTTGTGTCCTTTCTATCTCTTCCTTTAATGTTTTAAAATTTTCATTGTAGAGCTCCTTCACATCCTTGATTAAGTTTACTCCAAAGTATTGAAAATTTTTTGTAACTATTGTGAATGGTACTGATCTTACAAGTTCTTTCTCAGCCATAGCATTGTCTGTGTGGAAAAAAGGCTATTGAATTTTGTGTGTTGAATTTATATCCTCCAACTGTACCAAACTCTCCTATACAGAATCATGTCATCTGCAAACAATGATAGTTTGACTTCCTCCTTCCCAATTTATATCCTTAGATTTCTCTTTCTTGCCTAATGATTCTGGCTAAAACTTCCAGAACTATATTGAATAGCAATGATGAAAGTGGGCATCCTTGTCTGGTTCTGGATCTTAGTGGAAATGCCTCCAACTTTTCCTCAGTCATATGACGCTGGCTGTGGGTGTTATGCATTTGCTTGATCGTATTGAGGAATGTTCCTTCTATACTGAGAAACCCTTATGCATTGATGACCCTTGGTTGACTCTTTCAACCATTTTCAAGTAATTTGGAAAGGATGAGATACATTAAATAGCTGCCAAATCCTTATTATGAAACTCTGCCATATAAGTTTAGTAGATTTAGCATACAGAAATATAGGCTGTAGTATCTGGGTCATATTTGCACTAAAAACATTATTTGTTATTTATCTGAAATTCAAATATTCCTGAGTGTCCTGTTTATTACCCTCTCTAAGGGAGTATCTTAGGGGAGTGCTCCCAAACTTGAGCACATTTGGATCCACTGAAGGGCTTAGGAAAACAGTGTCTGGGTTGCAGCCTCAGAGCTAGTGATTTAAAAGATCTGGGGTGGGCCTGAAAGTTTATTTTCCAACAAATTCCCAGGTGATGTTGATATTGTTGTTATAAAACAAAACAACAACAAATGAAGAGCAAAAAAAGAAACAGAAAGGAGATATTACTGGTACAGGAGCCATATTTTGAGAAAAATTATCTTAGGAAATAGGTGAAGAAAATCATATGATCTCTTGGTGCTTATATTTCTGTAATTGGAGGATGGAAGTTAATAATAAATATCTCCACCTACTTCTTAGTCTGCTGCAGGATTGCATGAGTTTACCTATAGAAACCGCTCACAACACGGCTACAAGGCTATACACTTTTATGTGTTACATAAGGGTGAACTTTTCTTATTATCACTAATGTCGTCATTATTCCCTCTGACCCCAAGTAAAAAGAACTGACAAAATTGTTCCTTTCATTGACCTTAATAAATAATAATTCATGGTTGCTAGGAAAACATTAAAATCATGTTATAGTGTATTCAGTTTAAGAAAATAGCAAGCATTACATATTAGAAATATTTAATCAAAAATGATAAACATTATAGTGTAACTTCTTTGGAAAACACTCTGGCAGTTCTTCAAAATGTTCAGGATAAGGGGCCTGCATTGTGGTGCAGTGGGTTAAGCTGCCATTTTGGACTCCTGCATACCATATTAGAGTGTCAGTTTGAGTCAGGACCATTCCATGCTTCTGATCAGCTTTCTCCTAATGTGCACGGAAGGCAGGGGTAGATGGCCCAGGTACTTGAATTGCTGCCACCCATGAGAAAGATCCAAATGAAGTTCCTGACTCCTGGGTTTGGCCTAGCCCAGTCCTGGCTATTGTGGCCATTTAAGGAGTGAACCAGAGAATGGAAATTCTTTCTCTCTTTCTTTCTCTCTCTCCCCCCCCCCCCAACCTTTCAAGTACATAAATAAATCTTTAAAGAAAAAGTTAAACATAGAATTACCATATGGCCTAGCAATTTCAATTTCACTTATAGTTTTATTCCCAAAAGAACTGAAATCGGGACTCAAATAGACAACTACATGCTAATGTTCATAGCATCATTAAGCCCAATAACAAAAAGGTAGAAATAACTCAACTATACATCAATAGATGAATGAATAAATAAAATGCAGTACATATGTGCAATGTAAGCCAAAGACAGAAATGAAATACTGCTGAGGGCTGGCGCCGTGGCTCACTTGGTTAATCCTCTGCCTTGCTGCACCGGCATCCCATATGGGTACCAGGTTCTAGTCCCGGTTGTTCTTCTTCCAGTCCAGCTCTCTGCTGTGGCCCGGGAGGGCAGTGGAGGATGGCCCAAGTGTTTGGGCTCCTGCACCCACATGGGAGACCAGGAAGAAGCACCTGACTCCTGGCTTCAGTTCGGCACAGTGCCAGCTGTTGGCCATTTGGAGAGTGAACCAACAGAAGGCCTTTCTCTCTGTCTCTCTCTCTCTCTCACTGTCTATAACTCTACCTGTCCAAAAAAAAAAAAAAAAAAGAAAGAAAGAAAGAAAGAAAGAAATACTACTGAAATGCTATAATATGGATAAATCTTGAAAACATTCCACTAGTGAGAACATTCAGACATAAAATTCCATACGAGTCCACTTACATGAAATGTACAAAATAGCCAGACCCACAGACAGAAAATTGGTTAGTGTTGGCTAGAGGCAGGAGCGGGGAGAGGAAGTGACTGTTCAGTGACTATGGGTTTTTCTTTTGTGGCAATAAAAAAAAATTCTAGAACTAAAGGATAGTGTCACCTCCCTTCTGCAGGCTCTGGAAGAGAATGGGTGTCGTTGGATTTCCAGTTTCTAGAAGCTGCCCCATGTCTTAGCTCATGGCTCCTCCCTCCTCCTTCAAAGCCAGCAGTACAAGCGACTTCCAATCTCAGCATTGTGTTCCTAACAGCACAAAGGTGAAACAATCAAATTTTCATCAGTGGGTGAGTATATGAGCAAAATGTTTTATCTAGCCATAGAAAGGAGGTACTGATAACCTGCCGCAATTTGCATAAACCTTGCAAACATGCTGAGTGAAAGAAGGCAGAACTCTCATCCTCTGGCCTCCTCTTATAAGGACATTTGAGATTACACTGGGCCCACCAGGATAAGCCAGGATAATCCCCAATCTCAAGATCCTTCACTCAGTCACAACTGCAAAGTCCCTTCTGCCATGAAAGATAATATATTCACAGGTTCTGGGGATGAGGATGTAGACATCTTTGCGGGGAACCATTTATTCTGCCTGCCATACCATTCTACCACCTGTTTGGAAGTCAGGAAAACTGGCTTCGGTACCACAATCTCACTTCTTGGTAGTTGTGTCACTCCATTGGTTCCACCTCCTAGAGTAGCAGGCTGAAAATGGTGACAATAGCTGTCTTTCAGGGCCATTAGAAAAACGAGAATGAATCATGAGGAACTGGCATCAAGAGGGACCTCAGTTAACAGCCAACCCCAAGTCTTTAGCTTTTGCTATAGGGTTACTGTAAATTTTAGACATAAGGGAAATTATCTAGGTTAAATGCAAAGTTCCCCTCCAATATCAGATACCATTTTCTTTTGAAACAATAACGTGCACGTTTCTTTATTGTGTGCTGCATTCCAGGTCATTCTGGGATAAAGACCTGGGAAGTACTAGCCAAGCAACCTGCCCTGCAGTCTCTCCTTTTAACCACCACACGTACTGTGTCTGGATATAAAACTTGCACTGTCACCTTTTGATATCTTATTGAAAAGGAGAGAACCAGGGAGCTCCTGATTAAAACATTTATAGAGAAAATTTGCTATGATCAAAGGCAGCAGGGCATATGGAATGAGCTGGGCTGTAGGACAGAGGGGAAATATGATCTCAATGTGTGAAAAACAGGCATCTCTTGGGCTTAGCACTGTGACGGAGTGGATAAAGCCGCTGCCTGCAACGCCATCACATATGGGCACTGGTTCAAGTCCCTGCTGCTCCACTTCCAATCTAGCTCCCTATTAATGTGCCTGGGAAAGTGGTGTAGGTTGGTTCAAATCCTTGGGCCCTTTGCAACCATGTCGGAGACCTGGAAAAAGCTCCAGGCTCTGAGCTTTGGTCTGGTCCAGCCCTAGCCATTGTACCCATTTGAAGAGTGAACCAGCAGATGGAGGATATATCTCTCTTTCTCTATCTCTCTGATTCTCTCTCTCCCTCCCTCCCTCCCCCGCCTCTATCTCTGCCTTTCAGGTAAATTAAAAAATTTTTAAAAATAGGCATCTCTTTATTCATTCATAAGTATTTATGAGCACTTACTGTTTCCAAGCACTATCTTACATGCTAGGTATACAGTGGTGCTCAAAGTAAACAAAGTCTTTACCCTTATTCTAGTCGGGAAAAAAATGGATTTAAAAAATGTGGGTAGGTAACTATAATTTTGGAAAACCGTTTCTTAGCATAAGAAGGTGGGGTGGAACAGTGAGGGAGGGAGATCTTGATGCTGAGGCAGAAAAGGCATGAAGGAGGGCCAGGGCCTCTGCCACTGGGGAAGGAGCCTGCCACGCCTCAGGACTCTTGTTTTGTAAACCTTGTGTCTCACGTTAGTAACTTTGTAAGATCAATTCACAGATACCCATAGTTCCTTTGGATACCCATAGTTCCTTTGGATACCCATAGTTCCTTTGCCCCCCCCCCAAGTGAGACAGACTGGAGTAAATAAGAAGAGGTGAATTACAGTGCAAGAGTAGATTCAGAAATTTTTGGGTGAAATTTTTGCTTCAGATACACGCATAACATACGTGAGGACTGCAAAAAGTTCATGGAATATAGAATTCAAAGATGTTTATTTGATGCAAAAATCTTGAAATCCATGCATAGTTTCTTCACAATACACATTTCCCACAGATGTGTTGAAGTACCCTCTCACATATGTGTGGGCAGTGACCCTCTTATAGACACATACACATGGGTGTTGGGCCATAATGTTGTCTGTATTTCTTACATATGTCAGGAGTCAGGAAGTCTGAAGAATCCTACACGAAGGCAAAAAGACCTCAATGTGTTTAGGAAAATTATCACAGAACTGTGAAGCAGAAACGCACACTGCAAGGGGAGTAGTAGGAAGTGAAATACGCGCTGTAAGCTGAGGCCAGACTGGGGGCCAACAGGCAACAGAAAGGAGCGTGCGTTTCATTCTGAGCTATGGGAAGCCAACAGAAGATACACAACAGGAACTGGAACACTCTGATTTACATTTTTAGAATGATAGTCTTGCATACCTTCAACCACTACCTTTCCACTAGTTGTTTAATTTCAAACACTGAACCTCTAGAAATCACTGGGCTGATCCAATACTCAAGTATATTAGACAAAATTCAAATATTTGCAACAGAAGAAAACCAGTGAACCACTGATTTAAATTCATGGCAAAACGAAAGACAGCAGCCAAGGTGATACAAAACAAAAAAAGTAAATAAAACAAGAACAGAGAAAGTTAGACAACAATGCACTATTTTATAACTATGAGTGAGTAGGCAAATATTTTCAAACATTTGACGATGTTATTAGCATGACTGCAAATTGGCATGATTTTTTTACACAAGGGTTTATGGCTCTTCCTATCAAAATTTAAATGGTATAAAGTCCTTAAACAGAAATTTCACTTTAATTATCATATCCTTCATAAAAGCTTACATATACACCTAGAACAAGTGCAGCATGATGTGTGGTATCATTTGGAATTAGAAAAACTGATAGTTTAAATGGGCATAAATAACAGACTAGAGAAATAAGAAATGAAAGTGCCTTCACTGTGATACAATAGACAACTGTCTTCAAAAAGAATATTTCAGACACTTTATATACTAATATAAAATTACTGATTTATTGATGAGGAAAAAAAAAGATGGCAGAAATCTATAAGTACTTTGATACAATTTCAATTAAAAACACAAAGAAAGATACATCCAGGTAAGCGTATTGGAATGTTCACAGAAGAAAAGTCTAGAAGGGGTACACAGAAAAGCTGAGGTAAGAGAAGGCGGCTGAGGGGCCCCTTTATGCTTACTCTATACTCTTGGGCAGTTGAACCTCTTTTACATTAAGCATTTACTATTTTTGACACACAAACAAGTAATGGAATTATGTCATAGGCAGGGCAAGCAGAGAGGGAGGTACTAACCAAGGAGGTAAGGGCACATCATACCTTTATGGGGAAACCAGTGCAGAGTTTTACCTTGTGGGTTGTCATTTGGGTGTGTCCACATGTATTTATGATATTTTCTCAAATACCCTCAACCAGATAGTTTCAATCATTATAGACCCAAATGTTGCTTCATCTCTGACCACTTTAATTCTGGTTAAGAATATTTGGCTGGGGCCGCCACTGTGGAGTAGTGGGTAAGCCACCCCCTGCAGCATTGGCATCCCATATGGGTGCCCAGTACAAGTCCCTGCTGTTCTACTTCCAATCCAGCTCTCTGCTATGGCCTGGGAAAGCAGTAGAAGATGGCCCAAGTGCTTGGGCCCCTGCACTTGCATGGGACACCTGGAAGAAACTCTTGGATGCTGACTTCAGATTGGCCCAGCTTTGGCCTTTGGGGCCAGATGGGGAGAGAACCAACAGATAGAAGATCTTTCTCTGTGTCTCTCCCTCTCTTTGTCTGTAACTCTGTCTCTCAAATAAATAAATCTTAAAAACAATTTGGCTGACTTGGTAAAGAAAATGTGGTATATACATACTATGGAATACTACTCAATGATTTAAAAAAAATGAAATCCTGTCTTTTGCAACAAAACAGATGCAAGTGGAGACCATTATGCTTAAATAAGCCAGATCCAAAAAGGACAAAAATCATCTGTCTTCTCTGATTTGTGGTAGCTAATAGAGAGAATTAAAAAAATCCTCAATGTGCATGAATGAAATTGATACCTTGTGTATGAATGAAATTGACACCTTGTGGTTTGATCATTGTTTAGAACCTTTGTCTGTATTCCTGTGCAACAGTGGCCTTCCTACTTTTCACTTGCAGCACTCTTTGCTTAGAAGGCCATTGAGAAAAAAAAAAAAAAAAAAGAAGAAGAAGAAGAAGAAGGCCATTGATGGGGCCAGCGCTGTGGCACAGTGGGTGAAAGCCCTGGCCTGCGGCGCCGGCATCCCATATGGGCGCCAGTTCTAGTCTCGGCTGCTCCTCTTCCCATCCAGCTCTCTGCTATGGCCTGGGAAGGCAGTAGAAGATGGCCCAAGTCCTTGGGTCCCTGCACCCACGTGGGAGACCCGGAAGAAGCTCCTGGCTCCTGGCTCCTGGCTCCTTGCTTCAGATCTGCATGGCTCTAGCCGTTGCGGCCATCTGGGGAGTGAACCAGCGGATAGAAGACCTCTCTCTCTGTCTCTACCTCTCTCTGTAACTCTGTCTTTCAAATAAATAAATCTTTAAAAAAAAAAAAAGGCCATTGACCCTGTAATTGGAAAGTTATTTGAAAGTATGCTATCACCACAAATTTTCTTAAAAAATGGAAAGAGGGGCCGGTGCATGGCTCGCTTGGCTAACCCTCTGCCTGCGGCACCAGAATCCCATATGGGTGCCGGGTTCTAGTCCCAGTTGCTCCTCTTCCAGTCCAGCTCTCTGCTGTGGCCCAGGGAGGGCAGTGGAGGATGGCCCAAGTGATTGAGCCCCTGCACCTGCGTGGGAGACCAGGAGGAATCACCTGGCTCCTGGCTTTGGATTGGCGCAGCGCTGGCTGTAGCAGCCATTTGGGGGGGTGAACCAATGGAGAGAAGACCTTTCTCTCTGTTTCTCTCTCTTACTGTCTAACTCTCCCTGTCAAGTAAGTAAAAAAAAAAAAAAATGAAGAAAAAGAAAAAGGAAAGAAAGGGAGGATGAGAGAGGTAGGGATAGAGGAAAGTGGGAAACTATCATATTCTTGGAATCATACCTATGAAATGCTCAAGAAATATGTTCTTTATATATTAACAAATTTTAATGTGATTTTTAAAAAAGATAATTTGGCTGAATTTTGCTCCAAACTGAAACTCACCAATGAGATTTAGGTATTAAGACAAGAACACTGCACAAAACGAAGAGAGGGAAAAGTGGATAATGACAGCAACCAAGCCCTGTAATAGCCTCCCGCCAGGACCAGTTCCCAGTGATTTATGTATATTGCCACTCTCGCTATAACCCCACACTGTAGGCCATGTGTATTCCTGCTTTAAAACGAACACGGCGCATCTCCAGCGCCAGGAGAGATCATTTGCCCTGGTGGCATAGCAACGGGATGTGCTGGTGTGCCAGCCCAGGGCTGGCCCTCCCACCATGCCCCTCAGCCCTTCATAATACAGACAGAGCTGGTCTCAGTCCTCACCACACTGGAACTGCTGGGCCAGTCCTAAGTTCAGGCAGACTGTGGTACTAACACCAACACTTCAGTAGTAAAATGAAGATTGCTTCAGCTCTTATGATGATGTAAACCAGTCAGCTGAAGTCTGCATGAGTCTCCTGAAAGCCATAAAAAAGGAATTACTAAGCAATGTGTTGTATATTTCCTCAAATGCCCCACCCTCTACCCCCATTCCACCAGCCACATGACAGAGCTGTGTTTTACCTTAGAGCTTGGTGAGAGGAGAGCCCAATTATGATAAAATCTTTCTCAGATAAGACCTCACCCTACCTGCTTAACCTGTCCAGGAAAGCTGTCCAAGAACCTCCCATCCCCACCCCATGGAGTTACTGTACCCGCTGAGTGCTGAGTGCTGGGTCTGTCTGTCCTCTGTCATCACGAACCAACACTTTGTCACAAGATATGCATCTGCTGTTTATCTTCTCAGTGGAATGCGGGCAGGTACCTGAGAGCCTGAGGAGGTGTCAAAAGGTACACAAGGAAGGAATGAACGAATGCTCTTCCAGCCGGGAAGGTCATGCAGGTTGGCAAAGAAACTAGAGGGCTAACAGGAGCGTATCTTAAGCATTGGTAAGAGCAGCAGAAAACAGAAAACAGCCCAATTGTCAGCCTAGGAGGAAAAAGGAACAAAGAAGGAGGAAAAGATGAGGGTAAAACTATTCTGAGGGTGCGGTTATGTTGGACACCCTTGTCGAGACCCATGCAGTGCACCACACGAACCTCAGTGTATGCTGTGGGCCCTGCTTGACGAAGAGGCGGTGTCAGCTCCCTGACCACAGCCCGTGTCCCTCAGTGGATCCTGATAGAGATGGTGGGCCACCCCTGGGGAGGAGGGAGGTACATGGGAACTCCCCATGAACACAAAACTGCTCTAAGAAACAAAGCCCACTTTTTTTAAGTACTAAAATACAAAGAATGACTAGTACATGATGCCTTTTGGCTTTATGGATAAACTTTTTCTGAAATGACAAGAAATGGAATCAAACGGCCAAGGGCTAGGCCAAGCCGAAGCTAGAAGCTAGGAGTTTCATCTGGGTCTCGCACGTGGGTGCCGGGAACTAAGTACTCACACCATCTTCTGCTGCTTTTCCCAGACCATTAGCGGGGAACTGTATCAGAAGCAGAGCAGCCAGGACACGACCCACTGGCACCCACATGGGATGCTGCATCAGGGTCCACAGCTTAACCAGCTAAGATATTTTACATTCTCATGCTAAGAATAACAGCCCATAGCAGGGACTGGGACCCCTCATAACCACCCCATCTTCCATATGGTCTAGCCCTGTGGCAGTGCTTCCTCCCATTACCCCGATTGCATTTTTGAGACTTCCTTCTCCCTATAGTTAGAGATCAGGCCACACACACCTGCTTTACTCCAACCTGCAGAGCCACTAGGCCGTCAGTAACTAAGCCATCGTGATTTCTGTCAGGAGTGCCTGCTCCACAGGGCTGCCGCTCGGCGTAGGGGAGGTGACGTGAGGAAAGCACTTCACAGAGCACTTGGGTGCTGCCTGGCGTCGCCGTTGCCACCGGAGATGTGACCCCGAGCAATCCCTTCACTAAGCCAGGCCCCCATGTGTGGAATACCCACAGCAGCAGCCTGTGACGAGACTCCAGGACTTAACCCTTAGTTATAGATGTCACTAGCTGCTTTACATGTGCTTCAATGAATGCTGGTTTCTAGTAACCTAAGCCTACAAAATTTATAATTATATAATTGTATATTTATAAAATTAATAATAATTGACTGGTAATCAAGAAGTTCCTTTGTTGTGAAAAATGAACACTACATACAAAACTTTGTTGTTGTTTTTGAACTGGCAGATTTTGTCAACAGTCCTGGCTGTTGTGGCCATTTGGGGAGTGAACCAGCGGAAGGAAGATCTCTCTGTCTCTTGACCTCTCTCTGTAATACTGTCTTTCAAATAAATAAATAAATCTTTAAAAAAGAAATAAAAAATAAAACGACACATAATTGGGAGCCAGCATTAAGGTGTAGTGGGTAAAGCCACTGCCTGCTATGCTGGCATCTCACAGGGGTGCAGGTTTATATCCTGGCTGCTCCCCTTTCCATCAAGCTCCTTGCTAATGGCCTGGGAAACGCAGTGGAGAATGGCCCAGGTGCTTGGGCCCCTGTCACCCATGTGGGAGACCTGGAAGAAGCTCCTTGGCCTGCCCCAGCCCTGGCCGTTGAGACCATCTGGTGTGTTAACCAGCAACTGGAAAATTTCTCTTTCTTTCAAATAACTAAATCTTTTTTTAAAAATGATATATTTGAAATGTATTTTTTAAAAATGTAAAAACCCCTTATGACCGAGTGTCCTCTCCTCTCATATGTCTGGAGTCAGACCTCAGTGTCGCTGCAGTACCAGTGAAAAGGAAAGCACTATGCAGACAAGGTGGTGAGCCAGACGTTGAGAAGAGGATACAAGGCTTCCTCCCTGGGATAAAGAGGACGGAGGGACGGGAGTAGTCAGGACCTTTCAGTGGAGACCGGAGCCTGAGCCATGGACAGCTGTGTGTCATTTAAAGGCCATGAGATCTTAGACTAGTGACTTTGTTTCCCTAAGCCTGTTTCCTCAACTGCACATCGAAGATACTATCTGTCCAGGAAGTCCGTGGCTAATAAAAATAGGACAGTGTGGGCAAAATGATCTCATCATTAATGTTATTACTGCAAAATCCCTTCTTGTCCTTCTTTGGCTATCCAACGCCTAGTGACTGAACCCTTCTCTGAAAATGTGTGCAGAATGAGTGAGAAAACACGATAAAATGTGCAAACTAGTTCATCCACTAAAGATCAAAGCTCGAGAAACACATCAATCACTACAGCACTTGCTACACAACAAGCATTACCTGGAGTTTTCTAATCTCACCAGGTTCTTATACGCAGCTGAGAAAGTCCCAAGGTTAAGTCACCACACACTAAGTACTTTGAGTGAAGCTTTTAAATACATACACTGCTACAAATTTCCTCACCTAATCATAATAGATGCTGCTATGGCCTCTGCAGGCATGGTTTTTATTTGTCCTTAACCACAATTCAAGGTAGGTAGAGTCCAGTTTTATAAATGTTAACTTCACAACTACAATTGAAGTTTAGAGCATTAATTGAATTACCCAAGGAAATAAAAGCTTCCAATATAACTTCACTCAAAGCTATCAACCTAATAAAAAGCTGAGGCAGGAACAGAAATGCAGGTGGACTAGAAAAAGACTTAACCCCTTTGATGCTATGTGTGCGCCTAGGTCAGACCTGTAGGTTAGCATTTAACTGAGAAGCATGAAGCTAAAAAGAATGCACTGAATATTAAGGTAACCAGACTCCAGGAGTTATCTATATCATACAAGTTTCCCAAAACCAGGAATTTATGTTTTGAGTAATATATAGCCACACTCACCATTAGCACGGGTGGGGAACTTTATTTATTTATTTATTTATTTTTTGCTAAGGATACTAACACCATTCACAGGCTGTACAAAGTTTTCAACTTAAAAATTTGCATGCTATAGATTTATTGAATTTCCAGGGCCTCCAGTGGCTGCCTTGGCAGAACCAGACTAAATGATTTCCCAGGCCTTACGTGACCCACAGGCCAGATGTTCTCTGTCCCACTTAGAGACCCTACCTGTGCTAGCCGTGCCTGGCCACTGAACAAAATAGCCTCTTCCCCAACCATGGTTCCTAGGCTGTGGCAGGCAGGCTGTGAGAGTTTCCACTATTTTAGGGCCACTCCTATGCTTAAGAGCCAACGCTGCTTGCCCATGGCCATCTAAGGGATCAACAGCGTTAGGGCAACCTTTAGCTCTGGGAGGGAGGAGGGCAGAGTCACTCATTGGCTCTCGCTGCTCACTGCAGCTGCTGTGTTCATGCACTTGGAGTCAGTCACAAGATCACCTTGAAATAATCTGGCAGCTTTTTAGTCTGGTAAAACCCAACTCCAAAGTCCGTTCACTCCTATTTTTAGTGGGGGCCTCTTGCCTGGTCCTGCGTTAAGCACTGGCGATGGATGAATGATGGGAAAACGCCCTGGGAAGAACTGGGGAAGAACAGGAGCCAAGAAGCAAGGGTACTGGAGGATGCCCCCTTCATTCATCCCCTCCCAAACTCCCCCCCTCCCCGTAATGAACGTCATCAACGCCCATTCCAAAGCACCTGACTCTCCCCCTCCACCTCTTCCTTGAGAAAGACCGTTCTCTGCCTCACCTATCTCATTGCACCGATCCAACTGTCATTAAAAACCTGCTTGTACATCGCGTTCTGGGAAGTACTCATGTGTCTTGCCTATTAGAACAGATGTCCCAGGAGCAGAGGACCTGTGGATCTGCTTGATCTGTATATGCTAGCCACTGGGAACCGAGACGCCCTCCAGGTAAGAACTTAAGTCACCGTGATGTTAGTTACAACCTTTCCACCATCACTCAGACCTTCATGTTTCTGGCCTGCACTCCACATGCCTATCAGATACACTTTCAAATGCCTATTAAACTTGCACATGTCTACTTTGAGTACCTACCAACCATCATCCCTTTGCAGGCACCTTTCATTATCATCTGCCGTATGTCTGAGCAAATTTTCCCTTAGAAACAAGCTCAGGAGCAGGACCACTTGTCACATTTATGTGTTTTAACCTCTTTTGTTTGAGTTGCTAGACTGGGGCTCTGCCTTTTCAGGCTTTCACATGTTATTTCCAGACCTTAATTGTACACCCCGAGTAGAAGCCGCTCTTGCATCTACTCCGCAAATAAAACTGCTCTATTTTGTTTCATAAGTAGTTTCACCAGCAAATTCCATAAAAGAAAGTAAAAGCCCTTCTGCGCATATTCTGAGCTGTTCCTTTTGGAGGTCCTTTGAGGCATTTCCAGACAAGCATGCCATTGTCCTACATTAAGCATGCTTAGTCCACTTGAGAGAAATGGCAGCCTCCACTCAAAACAACCCAGGGATAAACGTTAGGTAGCAGGCCTTCTCCTTCTGCTTTCTTGTGCAATGAGAACCATGAAAATGAGACTTCCACTCTACAGGAAAAGGGTTCATTGCTGCTTGTGTTTCCTATAACCTTCTACTTTCTTATCTGAAATTCTCACAGCAGACCGTTGACAAAGTATTCAAACTTCATGGGATTACCATAGTGGCTTGAGGCACTCGCCTAGGGAGTGCTGGTGACCACCCAGGAGCTACCTGTTTCTTTACTGCCATAATGTAAACAATGCCACGTGACCACATTCATTTGCAGCAATTAAAATCACATGCCAAGCACACTCCCTTTATCTACAACTCTGAAACAATCTAGGATTCCTTGCAGATTACTAAAAACCAAAACTCCCTGGTGAACATTCCAGAACATGAGTGTGGCTTCCAGCAATTTTTGCATTGATTCTGAAAATCAAAGTGTACTGAAAATTTGTGTTCATAGGCACTTCTCATAACTTGGAAGCAATGAGCTATTCATTCTCATAGTAACTGTTGGGGTTTCAATCACTAAACAAATTCATCAAAATGTTTACTGAGCAATGCAAAGATGCTACAGTTTCTCTGAGAATAGCAGTGTGTAGCATAACAAGTAGACTGAATTTGAACCAAAAACATCAGAAAGAAAGGTAAAAGAGGAAAAAAATACAAGAATTCAGTGAATTCTAATAGATGGTTTATTGGAAATCCTTATAGTGTTTTTCAAAAGGACTTGACAGACTGTATTTTAATAAGACATAGCAAAGAGAAAATGGCTTAAAAGATATCATCCATCTTTTATTTAACTAAGCACTGCCCTTCATTTTGAAGGAAATGATACAATTTCAAATCAGAACTTCCATCTTAAGAAGTGGATAAGAACATAACATTGACTTCACATACAACCTTCAATAAAAATAACGTTTATACAATTCATTGGGAAATAAAATGCTTGCAGAATTTATCCTGTTAGCCAATGTAATCTCCTTGTGTCACAAGTATTACAGTTGAGAACAAAACATAATGAAAAGTTGAATAACCCAGTCAAGTTATTATCCTGATTAAAAAAAAAGTTCACAAATAGAATGTGACTTTCCAAAGAAATCTATTCGATGTCTGTGATCACAACTAGATCTTATCCTAATTGATAAAAAAAATGGTTAGACAAGCACATAGTATCAAGAGTCTGTATGTAACACAGTGGATTCCATTTTGTTAAGAACAAAAAATAGAAAATAAGTAATATTTAGTTTTCTTAGCTCTCCATAGTATATGTTATATAAAATTAAAGTTTTGCTTCCAAAAATATGTTTCCATGTGGTTGGGTGGTGTCCAGGGCCAGAAACACCAAAGACAGGAGAAGTTTAACCACAGAAGTGTCATTTTTCATAAAAACTAAAAATATCCTTCAAGGTCTAAAGTCTTCTGCTAGGTATTTTAGTGCTACAAAGTCATTTTTAAATTAAATGTGGAATAAAAGCTACAAAAAGTATGGGTCCTTTCAATACAAAAGTCGTGTAGCTGAAGTCGTGGGCTCCTCTGACCTACATCAGCGGTCTCAATAAAATATTTGCTCAGGTAAGAAAATAGAATTTGTCTGGTTTCACTTAGCATACGTGCCGGGCGATGCCCTGCTTCTCCCAGCCAGGCATCTGCAGAACATGAGAATCGATATTTCCTTCCTTCAAAGAGCATCCGTAATTCACAGTACAAAATAGTTCTAAAGCCTTATTCCTAAGGAGAAACAAAAATTATTAAATATATTTATTTCTTCCTAAAGTGCCAGATGTAGCTGTTTTCAGGGCAGGAAAAAAAAAAAAAAAACCACTTACCCATAACACTGCCATCCTAAGGAAAAGAAGCAAGAGTGGACTGGATTACCTTCCTAGAAGCCTCTACTGGTTGGCTGTGGCCTTCCCTTAGGCCTTGAACCCCTAAGGAGACTTCCAACATTCCAATGGAATCACTGTTCCTAAGTATCAGACAGTTCATTATCTCTGGTAGTCTGCAGAAACGTTAGGGTTACACTGAAAAGCAGGATCTAGAGTAGATCCATAGATCCATCTCCTGTACATTTTTCAAGCCTCGTTATCAAAAACCTCTCCTCCAGAGGTAGATGCTATCATTGGTGTGGATTTTCCAGGAGCACTTCTTTCAAGTTGAAACTTCAGAAACAGCAGCTGGTTACTAACAACACAGCCACTGCTGCACTCCGGTGTGACCAGACTTTCCATTTGGACAGGAGGAGACAGGGAGGGGAGTAGCAAAAAGCTGGCAAGCCCGGAGCTGCCGGCCTGTGCCACTGTGCACAGTGGTCATCTCTCGCAACTGTGTTAAGCACAAAAGAAAACCCGCTCAATCGAATGTCTTCACCCACAAGGAACTTGTTCTGCTCTTCCATGACCGAGAGACAGTAAATGTAAAGCTGTTAGAGTATTAAACATGGAAACCAGATCTACATTTCCACAAACACCCTGGCTTTCCTCCAGTGTCCCACACAGGGCTAGAATGCGGCTCACCTTTAAGGACAAAGTGACAACAGCTGATGGGAGGGGGGTGGGGTGTCACTGTGAAAATGGGGAGCTCAACGAATACCTTTTCAGTAAGAAGTTTTCATGGTGGGGCGCTACCATTGATCTAGGCTTTTAAAAATCATGGCCTTCATTTCCCTGTCTCAGAAAACCACACTAGGAAATCCTCCAAGTCGAGCTGCCTTGGTTTAACGATCCCAGGCTACAGCCCCACAGTGGCCTCAGTTGTGAACCACTCAGGATTCTATTCCAGTGGTTAAGAACTGGGTAACAGAATGACTCCCAAGAGGAAAAAAAAACCCAAAATGTTCCACCTTAAGTTCTGAGACAGCACTAGCCATGTACAGCACACAGGCATTCTGCAGTGGAGGGCACAGACTGTCAAAGGGCCCCAAAGGGCACGATTTTAAAAACATTTCAAAAGCCTCATACTAAAGCATACAGTGGCTCTGCAGCACACCCAAGCCTGCCACCAATGGATCCCGGGTCACCAGCCTGTTCCAGGACTGCTGTCTACACAAGGCGGCATCTGTGAGGGATGCCACACTTTTCATTAAGAATGGGCTCCAAAGGAGGTGTTCTCCAAGCAGCAAGACTGCAGAGCCTATGAGACTTTCCATCTTGAATTAAGCTGCACACAGTGTGGCTAGCAACCTGCCTATCTTACCACTGCAGCATGCCTCAGTTTTAAAGATCTTACCACCAGCAGAACAAAAGTGAGTGTATGGGAGAAGGGGCCAAAAAAAAAAGTCACAGGATCAGCATCAAAGCCTTGTTTTTAAAAGGCTGGCCTTCAATATCCAGAGAGGCTAGGGGAGATTAACTACTTCCTGCCAGGGCAGCCCTGTCTGGCCAATTCCCTAGTGGATGTTTTATGAGGTGGCACAAGCCATCCCCATCTGTGACCTGCAGGCAGACGAACACAGCCGAGCAGGTTTAATTAGCTCAGACACACAAAGGGCGATTCCCTCCTTTTGATAACAAATAACACAGCTATAAGTGCCCACAACAGCAGGCGCAAAACAAAGGCAGCACAGCAGAACCTTAATTGAATCCTTCCCCTGGCTGGCCCTTGACAATGATTTACTTGTAACCTGGGAAGGGGGCGGGTGGAGCAGGCGACTCAGCCAGGAGTCAGCTCCGGAAGAGGAATTACTTGGGGGCACGGGGCTGGAGAACGCAGCAAAGTCTCTGCAAGCCCGGCTTGTTCAACTCTGTCCCCGTTCATGAGGGCTGCTTGGATTTCGTTTGCTGCTCCCTGACCCTGCGGGTGGTTTCGCCAGCCCTGCTCCCCAGGAATCTCATAAAGTAAAATAAATCAAATAAATCGCGCTGGCCTCTCAGATACCACACAGCTCAGCGGGAGGCGGCAGAGCAGCAGCACTCAGAGAGTGGGCCTGCGGGAGCGCCTGGGGCAGGCGGCCAGGAGGAACAGGCAGGCACGCAGGCGTCGGTACCCCGCACCCAGCCCCGTGCATAAAAAGGGCGTTGTGTTGGAAACAGATCCAGCAGGGATTAAGTGCCAGGCAAATCCAGTTTGCCCCCACGATGCAAAGGAAGACAATCAGATTAGGAGGAAGGAAGCGCCCGCCCCCCCAGCCCCAGCCAAAATTCTCCTACCTGCTCCCTCTGTCCCCTTCCTCTCCTCCCCCGTCCACAGCCGGCTGCGCACTCCACCAACTTTCCGTTTATTAAAGGGCCAGAATCCCAGATGGGACCCAGAGGTGACTGGGGGAGGGAGGGAGAGGAGGAAGGGGACAGCGGCGGCTGCAAACAGCTCCCTTCCGCAGCTCTGGCTCAGCTCCGCGGGTCAGTGCGCCACCGGCTCTCCGTCCTCCTCCTCCTCCTCGGGGCCCCGCGCAGGGGGGCGTCCGGGAGGCGGCGTAGTCCGCGCGGCATCGCCGTCGCCCTCCTCGGGCTCGGTCGGGTGCAGGTGCATGGCGAGTTCTTGCAGCACAGCGGCGCGCCCGATCTGGTCGTTGCGCCGCTTCTCCATGATCAGGTCCTCCAGGCTCTGGAACTCCAGCGTGTGGCTGCGCTGCGCCGAGAGCTGGATCCGCAAGCGGTAGGGCTGCTTGCCGATGCGCAGCTCGCCGCCGATCTTGAACTCCCGCTTGCCATAGCGGCACCAGGCGGCAAAGCTCTCCGAGTTGCGCCAGCTCAGCTCGCGCTCCTTGGCGCCCACGTGCGCCAGCGCGTTGCGCACCACAGCGCTGGGGCTCAGCGGCTTGTAGCGGTACAGATCGTTGACCACGCGGCCGCGACGGCCCTGGCTGGCGTCCGTCAGGAAGCTGTTGCTCACCTCCAGGCGGTGCAGGTGCACCACCTGGAAGTTGCCCACGTACACCGCCCAGTGCGGGTACTGCGCCTGCGACACGAACTCCACCAGGTCGCCCGGGCTGCACTTGTTGAGCAGATTCTCGGGCGTGTAGGTGCTCAGCGCCGTCGAACCCGGCGCGAAGCTCTTCTCATAGATGCACTCGTCGCGGTAGAACACGGAGCACTCCACCTCGTGCAGCCGCGGGTCGTAGGGCTGCGGCGGGGGCAGCGGCTGCCGGTCCCCGGCGTCATCGGGTCCCTGCGGCGGGGGCTGCGGCTCCACGTCCTCGTCGTCGTTGGAGAAGATGTAGGAGACCCCGATGCGGGGCCCGTCGTCTCGGTCCACGCCGGTGGGGTCGGCCGTGGGAACTTCCTTGTAACTCAGGTGGGTCAGCTTCTCCACCTGGTTGCCCATCGCGCTGCGGACGTGCGTTCACACCGCCGCGAGGGGAGAAAGCGAAAGCGCCAGCAGGGTCATTGGCGCAGGTCCCAGGACAGGGGGATGAGGCCACCTGTTGGGAGAGGAAGCCACGTAGCAGCCCTGGTGTGGGAAGGGCTTTCGTTCGGAACAGCGGAGGGGACAAAAACACACAAAATAAATAAATAAAATAAAACGGGTGGGGGGCCGAGCAGCTGGAGCCATTGCAGGGGTGACTCGGGTTAGAGAGGCGCCCCCCGCGTCTCCACCTGTCGGGGCACGGTCACAGGTGGCAGGGCGACGCCAGCGCTGCCCCCTATGCCCAGCCCTCACCTGGCCCGCGCGCAAAGAGCCCGTTGCATCAGCAGCTCCTACCGCTTCCGCCCGCGCCCTACCTGCCAAGGCCAAGCAGGAGGGGGGACGGGAAGAGAAACTTTGCTCCAATTCCCCCGTCCCTAACTCCCCCTCCCACCTACCCCTGGGCCCTGAGTAGCCCACGAGATGTCTCCGCGAAGCCGCCAAGCCCACGGGGAACGAGCGAGGGCCCCGTGGAGCGGGCCCGGCAGGTGAGCCGCCCGCCCGCCCGGGCTCACCTGCGGCGCGTCCTCGTCGCGGCTCGCCGGCCCCTCCCCCGCGCAGGTTCGGGTTACCTGAGCGCACTCACCCGCAGAGAGGTGGCGGGCGTGGGCGGGGGGAGGGGCCCCCGCCGCACCCACAGACTTCTAGGGCGAGTTCGCAGGTGTGGGCTCTGCAGCCCTCCTCCTCCTCCCGGCGCGGGCCGCAGCGAGGCTGGGCAGGGGGCAGCGCCGCATGTCTCACCCCGCGGAGACTCGAAGATGCAGGGGCAAATGTCTGCTCGCCCCGCACCGCCTCCCTCCTGCCGGGGCTGCGGCCCCCAGCTCCCAGGAGAGGTGTGGCGCGAGGAGGAGGAGGAGGAGAGGAGGAAGGCAGCCTCCTCTCGCAGCCGCGGCAGCTCGCGCTCCGGCCGCCGACCGACGGGATTGTAGATCCGGCTCCGGGCTCCCGGGCGGGAGCGCAGCCCGTGGCGTTTAAAGAGACAGGCGCTCGCTCCCCCCAGCTCCGGTCTTTCCTACTCGGCGCGTAGCCGCCGGGATCCCCGCCCCTGCCCCGCCCACCCGGGCCTTGGAGCCCCGCCCAGGCCACGCCCCCCGCCGGAGCCCGTTTAAATCCCGCTGGTAAATAAATAATCACCGGTTTGGCGGCGGAGGTAGCTTGGAGTGCCCGCCGGAAGGCACCCGCTAGCCTGTTTTTTCTTTTCTTTTCTTTCTTTCTTTTTTTTTTTTTTTTTTACCCCGAGCTGCGGTTCCGAGGAGTTGGAAGGCAGACGCCACCTGCCAGTGCAGAGATGAGAGAGGGAAAGAAAGTTTGGTGTTTGAGCCTTTTCCCTTTCTTTTCTTCTCAAAGTACCTGGAGAGGGAGCAACAGTCATTAGGGACTTTTGCTTTTTTTTTTGTTTCCTAAGATGTATTTCTTGCCCTAAAGGTCGCAGGAAAGGTGCTTCAGCGCCGAGATGTTTGCGGAATAAAGAGCAGGGAACTTTGGTGTAGGACGAAAAAATATGTAAGAATTCGCAGAAAGAAAACAGTCAAAAAAAAAACAGAAGGAAAACTTGGTGCCTGGCTGGAGCCCTACTACGGCTTTGCTGTCTGTGTGGGCTGGCGCTGGAAGTCAGTACGAAGTTAATTTCATAACCTCCGTGGTTTCCAGAGAGTTACCAGTCGGTTAGGTAGTGGAGAAAGCAAGCAGTTGTGGCCGCTTTTCTTGGGGTTGGGGGAATAGAGGAATTGCCTAATTGTCCTTAAATTCTAAACGATTGAGCGAAGGCCCCAGGATGTGTTTCCTTCCTGCTGACCAGGGAACAAGGGACAGGAGGATTGCTGGTTAATCTCCCCTACCAGGGGAGAAGCCGCCTGCTTTCCTTTCTTGTCCCTAAGAAGTAGGCTCCAGAGTGTTTTTGTTCATTTCTTAAAATAAGGGGTTAGGACGCAGGTGGAAGACTGAGCCCTCCGTTTTCAGTAATCAAGCACAAGTGCTCACTAGAAGTACCCTTGCTAGTGAGTGGTGGAGTTGAGGATGCAACCCAAGACCTGCATCGGGTTTTCCATCACTGCTTCATTTGACTAGGTTTTTCCGAGTAACCCCATTATTTATTCATTGTGTATACTGACCAGTGGAAACAAGAACACACTAACACTACTGTGATGTTTTTTTTTTTTCCTTTGGAGAGGAAAGTAGACATAAATCTGCGTATGTGTCTTTAAGCCAAACAGTCCATATTGTCAGCACTGTGATGGAGGGAGCCCTTCAGCAAGTCTAAGACCTCAGTAGAAAAGGTTAGACCAAAGCAGGATTTCCAGGTGCTGTACAGATTCAACTGAAAGCTTCCAGACTGGCCTTCAGCACATTTGACCAGAGAGATCCGCCCTGGATCAGGGGCTGGGGCTGCCGTTCCCTGCAGGGTGCTTGCCACTACCAGGAGAGCTTCTGTAGCCACCCGTTTCATGGAGAACAGTTAGGCTTAGAGGGACAATGACTGGTCAGCCCATGTCAGGTGCCCCACTGCTCCCAGGTGGCACTGGTGAGGGCCAAGGGAATCCACAGACAGGTACAGTAGGAAGACAGTTTGCTACCAGCACTCAGCATCAGAGATCTAATGGGTAAAGTGCACCTAGTTATCTAGTATCTCCAGCAATTTTCTAGTGTCTCTATCAGTCTGGAGCTCCATTCAGGTGCACAGTAGTGGCTCAACGACATTCCTTGAACTGACCAACTCTCAAGAGTGAGAGGGAACAAGTGCTGAGGCCTCTTCATATCTCAGCTAGTGCTCGATACATGCTTATTGGATGTCTTAGGGAAAGCCTTGGGCCAAAATCAAGAATTACTTGCTAGTTTTATAGGGCAGTGAGCGACTGGGTGAGGGAGTGAGCCAGGGAAGGGATGTTATCTTCCGATAACCTCTAGTGTAGATAATTGCACAAGTGCCTGTCGGGCTCCGTCTCCATCTGATTACCCAGTGCACTTGGTTGGAGGTTACACAGTGGTTTCCAGATGTGCTTTGCTTATCTCAAATTATTGTTTCAGTTAGTTGTCAACAGTTTGAAAAGTTGGGAAATCATAAATAAAAATTCAGATTTTTCAATTGACCTTGGAAAGTTAAAAAAGCAGACAGTCAGGCACATGTTCCAGCTGTCACATGGGCAAGGAGGAAGCCTGAGCAAACATCTTTCCCAAGGGAAGCTTTTTTTTTTTTTTTTTTTTTGACAGGCAGAGTGGACAGTGAGAGAGAAGAGAGAGAGACAGAGAGAAAGGTCTTCCTTTGCCGTTGGTTCACCCTCCAATGGCCGCTGCGGCCAGCGGGCTGCGGCCGGCGCACCGCGCTGATCCGAAGCCAGGAGCCAGGTACTTCTCCTGGTCTCTCATGGGGTGCAGGGCCCAAGGACTTGGGCCATCCTCCACTGCACTCCCAGGCCACAGCAGAGAGCTGGACTGGAAGAGGAGCAACCGGGATTAGAACCCGGGGTGACCGCACCACAGGCAGAGGATTAGCCTATTGAGTTGCGGCGCCGGCTGGGAAGCTCTTTGATAAAGAATGTCGCTAGCTGGATTTGAATTCTCAGCCAGTCATAGATGCATCTCCCCAGCAATGACCTGAGTGTCACATCCCACACACCTCCTTGGAAGAGACACTCAATAAAAACAAGTGGTGTTGAATACCAGTTAGTCACTCTCACAGTGTTCCTGTCTAGACCAGTGGGAAATAATTGAGAATTGACTTTTCTACCTGACGGCATCGGCCCTGACTCTGCAGGTGTCTTAGAGATCTGGGTTTAAATGGAATGGCTGTCTCCAAGCACACACCAAAGAGGGGCATGCAGGCAGGCAGAATTATCTAATCGAGCAATCTGGAACTCACCTGTTCCCTAGGCTGGGCCCCAGGCTCATGGCTGCGGCAGCAGAAGCCTGAGTAATTCTGTTGGGAAACAAGTTTCTCCACACGTCCCTTGTGTTGGGAAACTCCTAGATTGGCCTGCACTTTTTAGTCGCTGTGGGTGTTGTGACCTCAGGAGGTGGTCTGCTAATGGCATGACCTTCAAGATGTCTCTTCTCCATGTAGGACCCTGTTCTCAATCTCTAAAAGGGGCTGATGCTACTAGTCTCTTCATTTGCCAGTCATCATATGAGTTCATGGACAGTGGCTCGCCCCTTGATCAGCAGGGGATTGCTTCCAAGACCCCCAGAGAAACCTCAGATAGCACCCAAGTGCATAGTTGATCTGATAACCAAGACAGCTACCCAAGCACATAGTTGATCTGGTAACCCAGCTAGGTGGTATATACAGCTTAGGTACATGGGACAAAGCATGACTCATGGCCTGGCTGGGACTGAGAAGAACAGGGGAAGATTTTATCAAGTGATTCAGAATGGCACGTAATAGAAAACTTAGGAATTATGCATTTATGTAATTTCTACTTAATATTGGACCATGGTTAATTTAGAGGGGAAAGCATGGGAAGGAGGAAGAGCTGCACAGGGAAGTGCCTTGGAAATCCCGAATGCTTTGTGCGTACCAGACTTGTTTTATATGTAAGAGCCAGATAATGGCTTTAATATGGACAGTCAAGGATAAACTGGTATTGTAGGCATCATCTTATTAAACCTACATGCCAGTCCTGTTATGTCTGTTTCCCAGATGAGAATACAAAGGCCCAGTACAGTCAATGTGGATCATGTCCATTGCAGGAGAAGAGATTGGATACAAATCCAAATCTGGCTGACTCGAAGACTGTTTCTCACACTGTAGTACCAGCATATACAGGGATACTTCAAAAAGTTCATGGAAAATGAAATTGAGGGCAAAAATTTTTTAAATCCATGCATATAAGGAGTTTTGGGAAATCCAATGGACAATGAGCACCCAGCGGGTCTGAGTGATGGACTTGACTTGGGTTGCCTGAGATTTTCTGGGTTTAGCACAGAAAGCCCCTGGCCTAAACAAACCGGAATGGTAGGCAGCTCTACCTGGTGCTTCCATAGCTGGGTCACTAGGCTGTCATGAAGGCAGAGCTGGAGATGTGGCTGGGATGGGTCAGGGGAGCAAGGACCATCAAGTATTTTAGTCCAGGGATCATTCTCCAATAGACCCCCATTTCCAGGCCAGGTTAAACCCACAGCAGCAGCCACATGGAGTTATTGCTCAAAAGACACAGTAAATGTTATGGCCTGCTTTATTCCTTTAAAAAAAATCATGGAGGGGATAGCGTTGTGGTGTAGATGATAAAACTGCATCCCATGATACTAGCATTCTATATGCGCTCTGTCTAGTCCTGGCTGCTCCACTTCCAATCCAGCTTCCTGCTAATGAGCCTGGGAAAGCAGTGGAAGATGGTCCAAGTGTTTGGGCACCTGCTACCCATGTGGGAAACTTGGATGATGCTTCTGGCTTTGGCCTGGTCTAGCACACAACCATTGCAGCCACCCGGGGAGTGAACCAGTGGATGGAAGATCTCTCTATCTTTATCTCTCTGTCTCCCTCTACAACTCTTTCAAATAAATCTTTATAAACATAAGCATAAAAAAGTGAAAAATTTGAGCACCCACAGCAGGCGAAGAGTGGGCCTGTCTCATCTCTGCTGGCCTAAAGTTTCTCCCCTTAACCCTCCCAACATCCCCTCCTTGACTTTTTTTTTTTTTTAATTTGACAGGTACAGTTATAGACAGTGAGAGAGAGAGAGACAGAGAGAAAGGACTTTCTTCCGATGGTTCACTCCCCAAATGGCTGCCACGGCCGGCACTGCGCCAATCTGAAGCCAGGAGCCAGGTGCTTCCTCCTGGTCTCCCAGGCGGGTGCAGGCGCCCAAGCACTTGGGCCATCCTCCACTGCCCTCCCAGGCCACAGCAGAGAGCTGGACTGGAAGAGGAGCAACCGGGACTAGAACCCGGTGCCCAAATGGGATGCAGAAGCCGCAGGCGGAGGATTAACCAAGTGAGCCACGGCACTACCCCTCCCCCCGTCCTTGACTTTGAAGCCTGCCTAAAAAGCTGTACAGTTTGGCAGAATTGTTC